CATTTTTCTGTTTGAGTTATTGCTGTTGCTTTTACTGTATCATTTGCTTCACCAATATGGTTGTGGATGTTTTACTATGCTTAGCTCTTTGCATTCGTTTGTATCATATCCGATTGAAAAAAAACTCTCTAAAATATTGCAAATTAAGATTTAACCAAAAAAAAATATAAGAATAAAAGATGTAAAAGTTGGTTAACATACTCAGAATGATGTTTCCCCAAATAATGTGTTTAATAACATATGAAAATATAAATTGTAGTTTACACTTGAGATTTTTTCCAATTGATTCCTCTTTTTTTCTTTCCTTATTTTCAGGCTTCAAAGATCTTGATGCTTAATGAATCATCGATTTCACTTAAATAATATTGATTTTTAGACAAAATTATGTTCAATTTTTCTTTTTTAATATGTATACAATATGAGCTTGTAAGAAGAAAGTTTTTTCAAACATGAAAAATTTGGAAGGATTTGTTATACAAAAGTGATACACCTGGAGGGTTGAGATTAAAAGGCGATATGAAAGTTTTTCGAATATGAAAAATTTGGGAGGATTTGTTATAAGAAAGTGATACTTGTCAATTTTGCCTTCTTCCTTACATCTTTTTTTTTAAATTTTTTTTTCTTTTTCATCGAAACGTTTTTAGTTAAGCTCAAAATTAGGATTTTCCAAATCGGAGAAATGTATTGTCTTGGAAAGGCAGATGTAACGGATAAAATGTACGATGTCTCCTAGACAGAGGTTTTGCTATAGAGGAATGGCATGATTTATTTCCATTCTGATATGTGGAATATTTGAGAATGATAGGATCAGATCATCAGCTAATCGTCGCAACCATTGAATCAAGGAGGATTAGAAGAAAGAACTAATTCCGGTTCGACAAGAGATGGATTGGACATGAGAGATTAATGGATGCTATAACACGAGGATAGAGAAAGCATAATCTAAATGCATCTCAATCGTTGGTTGATAGAATTTTCACCAGCAGACATGAACTCTCCAAATGGCATCACACTAATCGACCATATGGGAGAAATAAGATTGAGGATTTCCAACAGCAACTTGAGGAAATACAGACAGACAATACACGTACCCAAGACAAGCTTAATGAAATAACTTAAAAGCTAAAGGACGCGTATCATGATGAAGAACAATTTTGGCAATAAAAGAGTCGGAATCTTTGGAACAAATGTGAAGACCTCAATACTAATTTTTATCATGCCATTACCTAGCAACGGAGGACTATAAACAGAATTATGGGCATGCATGATACCCAAGACACTTGGGTGATTGGCAAAAATAAAGTGGAAAAGTTGCAGTGGATTACTTCTCCGACCTATTTACATCAACATTACCAACAAATATTGAGGATGTATTGGGGAAAATAAACTCAGAAATAACAGAGCAAGAAAATAAAGAGCTTGTTGAACCAGCATCAGAGGGAGAAGTGAGGGAAGCATTCTTATAATGCATCCCACCAAGGCACCAGGCCCTTATGGTATGACAGCACTATTTTTTCAGGAATCATAAGATATTATCAAGGACGATGTTGTCCACATGGTGAATCACTTCTTTAACACAGGGATCTTCGATAAACGGTTAAATTTATCAAACATTTGTCTCATCCCGAAAAAAGACCGACCAACTCGGATGTCAGAATTACGGCCTATAAGTCTATGCAATGTTGGATAAGAAATAATCTCAAAAGTTTTATGTCAACGGTTGCCGAGGTTGTTACCACGTTTGGTCTCCGAGACACAATTGGATTTTGTGTCAGGAAGATTGATATCGGATAATATTCTGATAGTGCAGGAAATATTTCTTGGTCTACAGACCAATAATTCTTGTAAAAAAAGAATTTACGGCAGTCAAAACAGATATGAGTAAGGCTGGCTTATGATCATGTTGAGTGGAATTTCATCGAACACTTATTTAGAAAGTTGGGATTTTTGGAGAAATTGATTACTTGGATAATGTGGTGTATTAAATTAGTCCAATACAAAGTCCTAATCAATGGGGTTCCAAGGGGTAACATAAAACCAAATAGAGGACTTAGACAAGGTGACCCACTTTCACCCTATCTCTTCATTCTCTGTACGGAACTATTAATTGCTAATTTGAAGAAAGCTGAAAATGAAAAACTAATTACTGGGATGAAGAATGCACGGGCGAGCCCGACAGTGTCCCACATGTTTTTTGATGATGACAGCCTATTTTTCTTCAAGATAACGCAGACCAAGGCGAATGTACTACTACATCTCCTAAAATAGTATGGATTGGCTTCAGACCAAGAAATTATTTTTTTTGAAATCATCGGTACAATTTGGACACAAGGTTCTCTCGACGACACATGATATTTCACACAACGTACTAGGCATTGCCAATCGGGGGAATAATCTCATATTTGGGGATTCCAGAAAGTCTAAGAGGTGCTAAAACAATGATTTTTCACTTTCTACTAGAACAACAGCAAAAACGGGTTAATGGGTGGATGGCTAAGTTGCTATCAAGAGGAGAGAAAGAGATCCTTACTAAATCAGTGCTAATAACAGTTCCGACATATTCAATGTCCTGCTTTAGACTACCAAAAACATTAATTACTAAACTTACAAGCACAGTAGCAAATTTATGGTGGAGTAATAATGGCAAAGCACGAGAAATGCATTGGATCTCTTGGGATAAACTATGCAAGTCTAAATCCGAAGGTGGAACTGGCTTTCGGGTATTGGAGAATTTTAATACTGTTTACTGGCTAAATAATTATGGCGTCTCATAGAATATCCGGATTCTTTATTTGCAAGGGTGTTCAAAGGACGATATTTCAGGAATGGTACACCCCTAGACCCAATATGGTCATACTCTCCGTCGTATGGATGGAAGAGCATCACATCAGCCAGATCTCTGGTACAAAAATGGCTCATCAAAAGAGTTGGATCAGGTCACTCTATATCGGTATGGAATGATCCTTGGATTCCATTCTCACGCCTGAGATCAGCTTTATGCAAAGAGTATAATTGTTACTCAGAGCTAACAGTCAATCAATTGATTGACCCTGTCACATCAACGTGGAACATACCACTACTGGAACAATTGATAGACTCAGAGGATATACCTCTGAGTATTGGGATGGCAACGACTCGGGAACATTGACCCGATATATGGGGCTGGAACTTGACAAAGAGGAAAAATACACTGTGAAATCGGGACATTTGATAGAACAACTTTATCCGGATAAGGAATCCTAACAGTCATATGGTCCAGATATTAGTCAATTATAGGCTAAGGTTTGGAAAACTAGATGTCCACCAAAGCTGAAACATTTTATGTGGCAAGTCCTCTCTGTATGTTTGGCGGTAACGGCCGACTTCGAGCCAAGAGAATCAATTGTGACCCTCAATGCAGCATGTGTGGTGCGGATATGGAAACAATAAACCACACATTATTTGAGTGTCCCCCATCTTATTAAGTTTGGGCGGTTTCACCAATACCTACACCTATGCACCACTTCCCCGTGGATGCACTGCTTACTAATATGGTACACTTATTTTGGCATTGAATCACGAGGATATGAAGGTCTATCCTTGGATAATTTGGTATATTTAGAATGCGGAATGACAAAATTTTCTCAAATATAGATCGACATCTAAGAGAAATTGTCAAACTGGCAATGGCAGAAGCATATGCTTGGGATGAAGCACATACAAATGATATAATGGCTCCCCTACCACATATCACACAGGAAGAGAGGCTGATCATGACTAGGACTACCTGTTACACTAATGGATCATGGAAGCATAACGTCTCAAACACAGCTTTAGATTGGTATAGTCAAGGAGTAGGAAATGAGGGTACACTAATGGGTGCACGTAAGATAGGAAAGAGTCTATCACCGTTGCACACAGAACTGAAAGCATTAATATGGGCAATGTATTGCATGCTGGATGCTGGGAGACATGCGGTAAAAAATTTCACTGATAGTGCAGAATTGTTGCAGATGGTTTCTCATCCAGCAGAATGGTCAACATTCTCACTACATCTAGAGGAATACAAAGTCACTAGAAGAGAGTTCCACCTCTTCTCAATTTCCAAGATTCCACAGGTACATAACATGAAGACGGACAAACTAGCATAAAATGTTTGAAACCATCTCTATCATCTATACTATGTAAATTCAATTCTACCGGAATAATTAACACTATTTTAAAAATATGAGTTTATTGACAAAAAAAAAAATATTGATTCTAATCCTGTCAGTTTATAACATTTTCTTTCATCACTCCAACCACATTTTTTATTTTATATACTTTAAATTGTTATTCTCAAATTATTTAGTATTTTAATAAGTGTTATACATACAAAAGTTGGTATACGGATCTAAAGTTGTGAGCTGTGATTTATTTTACTATATGCGAACTCGTTAGCTGTTACTTAAGTTTCCCCAACATCGTCCGAAATGAAGCAACACATATACCATAGATTAAGAAAAATACTATATCTCTTATGATGTATGAGACCGAATAGACTTTTGATTTTTACTAAATTTGAAATCGGCGATATTTTCTTACATCACAAACATTTGTTTAGTAATTCTGTTGGTGCTTTGACCAAAAAGAAGGTAATCTGTTGTACTTTCTCTTATTTATTCACATAGGGAGCATAAAATTGAGTTTACTCTATTATTGCAATGTAAAATTCTTTTCTTTTTACACATTTCTCCTCTCATATAGAGGCCGAAGAAGAGAAGTCCACGGAATAAAGAATCAACAGTCCAGTCAAATTGCGATCATCATATATAATCATGATTACGGTTAACGCGTTAATTGGTTTTTTTTTTTTTTTTGTATTTGTTGTAACAACAAAAAGCGAAGAAAAAAGTCAATAAAGATTCTCTTTGATGGGAAAAAGGATCAGACATTTTTTGGAGCTTTGTCCCAGTCCCTCGTGACTAATTTTTCCTATATTTTACTTATAACTATGACTACAAACAATACACTCATCATAAGTCATATTTAACTCTCTCTCTCTCTCTCTCTCTCTTTTTCTATCTTACACTCTAGAATTGATCCATTAAGGAAGATGGAGAGACAACAGAATTATCTACTTGGTTGGGTTCACCAAAACCAGTGTAATGTAAAGGTAAATTAAAAATCATTCTACATTCTTCTTTTTCTAATTTTGATTGATTAATTTCCTCCAAACTCGACTGATTTTTATTTTGGTGGGCAGACAATGGAAGAGCTAAGACATTCACTTCTTCACACAACAATGGAGTTAGAGCAAACAAGAATGGTTGCCCAAGAACTACTAAACTCCAAGGACGACCGGATAATGCAGCTCAAAGATCTCCTCAATAAAACTATCAAAGAGAAAGATGAAGCACAAGAGAGGTACAATAAACTTCTTCTTGACCAAAAATTCATCTTTCAACACCAAAGCGGTGAGGAACAAGATCCAAACATCAACGGGTTTCCTTCATCAGACGGTGAAGAAAGCATTGTCTCATCTTTTGATCCACCTTTGCAAATCGAGTTAAATTTTCCGGAGAGGACACTACCGGAGAAAGGAAAGCTTTTAAAGGCGGTTTTGAATGCAGGGCCTTTGCTTCAGACTCTGCTTTTGGCAGGACAGCTTCCACAATGGCGTCATCCGCCGCCGCAGCTTGAGTCATATGAAATCCCACCGGTTATTATTCCCGAAGCGACTCCATTGTCACAAAATAGTTGTGGGAATAATCTAAATAGGAAGAGGGTTCACTGTGATGAGTCTAACTCCAAAAGCGAGACAAAGTACCAAAGGCTTCTCTTGCCTTGATTGTTGGTGTACTCACATTTTGATTCAAGCATCAAAGTATGTATAGAAAAGATTTTAATCTTCTTTGTATTTTTTCCAAGGGTCATTAAATGCCATAAGCATTAGAGCTTGAATTATTTTCTCCCATGTGGATGTGGAGGTTGTTATGGTTTGTCCAAGGGGTTAACTCATTTCTAAATTAGCTTGTTTGCAAACTAATGCGGGCTAGTTTCTGACCTGCATCAAAGTATGACCGGTTAGGCTTAAAACGGGTCAAGCGAGAGAGAGAGTGTGTGTCAGAAACGGACTGGCCTGGCCCGTTGCAATAACCATATTCCCTTGGGTGTGTGTATAGGAGAAGAGAGAGAGAGTGTGTGTGTGAGAAAGGGACTTTAAATGAAATGATGTGAGGTTGATGAGTGTATAATGATTGGGATTTTTGGATCTGAACTAGTTTCTTCTAAGAAGACATAGAATTATAAAGTAAATTTGTCAGCGACAGGAACAGTGAGTTCTTGCCTAACGACATAAGTAGGAGTTGGTGGATCCTATCATGCTAAAGAAAAAGTGTGAGGGCCAATTTTCGTGGTTATGCTTTTTTGCACTATATTATTTTATTAATTCACCCACTAATCTTTTTTTTTCCAAATACAAGTTAATACCTTTCGCCTACTCTTAACATCCCTGGCAAATCGTTCACATAGAGCAAAATTTTGGTGTTTTCGGGTTAAATATTTTTCTGCCGATTCTAACTGAATAACACAAGATTCGGTTAGTTTAGTCTTATATTTGTTGTCAAATTGAACCGAGTTTCCAGTTTTTTTTTTTGCAAATTTCCTATAATTTTAACAGCAAATTTGGTTAGTTCATTTAGTTTGTTTTTTTGAGTTCAGGATTCTAAATAGTAATAAAATTTGGTATTATTTTGTATATATTAATTATGAAAATTGGGAAGAAAACAAAATTTGAAAAGATAAAAAATTTGGGTGGCATTACTAAACCAAATAAAACTGTAAAACAAATAAAATAATAATTTATAAGTGAAGCTGATCCAGAAATTAAAAGAAAAAAAATCTCAAACCTATTAAAAAAAAGATAATGATTATCTATTTATTTATTTTTAATTAATATTGCTGATATATTCTAAACCTACATTGATTCACTATAAATAATTGTAACATATTTTATAATATAAGATATATATGAAAATAAAACAAGTTTATATATCTTTCTTTTACATTCTCTTTAGTCCTTTCATTTCAGTCTCATATATCATATTATAATATAATATGTAGATAATTTTTTCTACTATAAATATGTAGAGTAATATTATTTATAACTTATTGTTCGGGAGCAAATTTTAGATACTACGTGAAGATGTGTTATTTGTCTGGGAAGTGGAGTTGTGCTTCAGAGTTTCGTCCTCTAAAGGGAAAGGTGACAAGTCGTACCAAAGCGGAAACCGGTTGGAGTCCCATCTGCGTATGAGAAGACTGATCTGAACCTGCAAATACTATACAAAAAGGATCAATTGGACCTTCAGAAGACCAGAAAGTTCTCCGACGCCACGTCAGTGAATGCCCTACCCGAAACAAATGATCAGGAGGGTATATCTACGGGTTCAGGTGAGAAGTCTCGTATGGGGATCGACACATCTATCTATTTTTCAAGTGTTTTGATGGGGATTTATAGCATGAAAGAAGGGGGTTCAACAAGTATAAATGTGTGATTCCGGGTTAAGGAAGGACTTATCCTGGTAGGCATTATCTCGAGGGAATGGAAAGGTTCTCTCTCGACCATACTGTTCGACGGTGTGAGCTCACTCGGGGCCATTATGCCATTTCCTCCTGAGATCGGATTCTAAGGAGGCCCGTTGCTCCTTTTTCTCTGGTCTTCACTGTGTTCCTCCTCTCCCCTCCTCCTCCTCTAGAATATGGAGGTCTCTTTCCTATTATACTAGTTTCTTCCTGTCTTGTCCACTCCATTTGGCGCGCCAAAGGAGCAGCTGAGCGGAATGATGCATGCATGTTTTGGGAAGCTCGCCAACTGCCCGAGAACAGTATTTGAGAGTTGTTGGCCAAGCTAACTTGACCATGTCTTTGTCTAGAGTGGTTCACTGTCTACGTGTCGCGCTATCCTTGGAGATAGTAAAATCGGTCCCAATAGTTACTCCCGATTTCTCGACTGATTGAGAAATGAGTCAGGGAGTCAACTTCTTTTAGGTTTCCTGCATAATGAGCATACATTATCCGATTCCCTAAGCGTTGCTCCATTAAAGGCTATATTGACACGACGACCTTGCCGCGTATCCGGAGGGTTACAGTACTAGTCTGAGTGAAGCTAAGTTCTTAAGGGTTATATTCGAATAAGGACTCGTTCAAACCGTGCCACACAGGGGAGCAGAGAAAGTGGCATCGGCTCCAACCCTGCCACGCATCACAAAGGAGTGTGGTTCTAGTCGGAGGAGCGAACAAAAGAAAGATTTCAACTTTGACCTTATTCGTATGTATCGGGGGAGCACGTTATTGGTCGAAGGAATTACAGTTAATAGATGTCAACTCCGGCCTTATTCGCATTCGGGGGAGTACGTTATTGGCCGAAGGAATTACACTTCTGGAGGAAGCAAGCCGTGAGGCAGTCAGACCAAATATATAATAAAGGACCCGCCCGAACTTTTCCACGCATCTGGAGGAGTACGTTGTCGGCCGGGGAAGCTAAGTGATAGAGTCCTACCCTGACTGGGGCACGCATCCGGGGGAGTACGGTACTTGCTCAGGATATGAGGATATTGGCGCTCCCGGATAGCTTGGCCACTGGTGGACATCTCCCCGGAGGGATTTTACTTCTTGTTTCGTGGGGCACTAGACAAGAAGCCATCTTGCTCCCTCTCATCGGGGTCTTGAGAGAGGTTATAGTCTCATGTGATCGTGAGGATCGACATGAGACAACGACGCAGTTAAGACACCTACCCAAGGGCCAGAGGTGGCACCATTGAGCGGATGAATAGATAGGCCCTGCATCGCGGGAAACTAATGCAAGGGAGAGTCGCTACTCGAGTGAAGCTAGTGCGGAGTATAGCATTTCCCAAGGGCATTATCTCGACTCCCTTACTGCATAGACAGTTTTTACATTGTGCTTTCGTGGAAGTTTCTGGGTTTTAAGAACATGCTTGTGACATACTTCAGAGGGAAGAGGTCAGTGAAATTATCAGGAAGAGAAAGCCTGCGAGTAGGCAACCTCAATTCCTGTGGTGTCTGAGTGGCAAGCGTGTCCTGGGGAGGAGCGCGCTGTTTTGTTGCACGGCCCGCTTGAGAGGACTGGCGAGGAAGACCTAGGGGTATGCGAGGCCGAAGCCTCTGACTCCCTCATGAGGGGTGTCACAGAGGGCGAGCAAGTCTATGGGAGAGCATTATTGGGACGTGCACTGTTTCTGGAGGGAGCGGACGCAGTAAGATCCGCAGGGGCATGCTGGGCCGGAGCCCTGTATTCTCGGAGGAACGGTGTCCCAGAGGACAATCAAGTCCACTAGGGAGCATGTTATAAAGAGTTATACAAGTCAAAGGGCGAATGTAGATGATACGTAAATGAGAAAGAACGTACTGTCATTCCGGTGAGAAGATATACAATCACGCAAACAAGAAATTACACAATCATGCAAACAAAAAATAACACAATCATATAAGCAAGAAATCACACAATCATGCAAGCAAGAAATCACGCCCGCTGAGTTTTTAACTTAAAACAATATTCTTTTTGGGAACTTCTGTCCCTTGTAAAATGTATTCTCGTACTCTTAGATCGATGGCCTCTTTTTAGTCCTTTTTAATGCTTTTCAAGTTGCTTCGCGTATCTTTCATTTTGTGTGTTTTTTTCATACTTTCGCTTCGTTTAGCGGCAGATCTGACTTCTTGACTTTGGGGTATGCGTAATGGCTTCGTAATCTCGAGTCTTGTTAAGTAAGGGTCATCTCCCATGATTCGCGGGGCTTCTATGTCTTCTGCTCCTCGCGCGGTTAAGCTGTATAGACTGCTTCCTTTGTGGAACGCTGGCCAGTGATCCCCCCTCCTTCTAGCGCCAATTGTTCGGGGGTAAATTTCGGGATGCCACATGGGGGTGTGCTTTTTGTCCGGACAGTGAAGCCGTGCCTCCGAGTTTTTTCCTCTGGGGGGAAATCCGATGAGTCGTTCTGGGGTGGAGGCCGATTGGAGTCCCATCTGGGTATGAGAAGATCCGAACCAGCAAACACTATACAAAAGAGGTCAACTGGACCTTCGGGAAGACCGGAAAGGGTTTCCCTCCGAATGTTCTCTGACGCTCATGTCAATGAATGCCCTACCGGGAAAAATGCTCAGAAGGGTGTTTCTACGAGTTCTGGTGAGAAGTCTCATCTGGGGATCGAGTCATCTATCTGTTCTTCAGGTCTTGTGGTGGGGATCTATAACATGAAAGAAGGGGGTTCAGCAAGTATAAGGGCGTGATTCCAGGTTAAGGAAGGACTTATCCTTGTAGGCATTATCTTGAGGGAATGGAAAGGTTCCCTCTCGACCATGCTGTTCGACTGTGTGAGCTCACTCGGGACAATAATGCCATTTCCTCCTTAGATAGGATTTTAAGGATGCATGTTGCTGTTTTTTCTCCGATCTTCACCGTGTTCCTCCTCTCCCCTCCTTCTCTTCTTGAATGTGGATGTCTCTTTCCTTATATACCGGCTTTTCCTCGTCTTGTCCTCTCTATTCGGTGCGCCAAAGTAGCAGGTGGGCGGAATGATGCATGCATGTTTTGGGAAGCTCACCAATAGTTCAGGAACATTACTTGGGAGTTGTTTGCCGAGCTAACTTGGCCATGTCAGTGTCTAGGATGGTTCACTGTCCACATGTCGCGCTATCCTTGGAGGTAAAATCGGTCCCAACACACATTATTAGTACGAGCGTCTCTTGATTTATATCCAGAAGGCAGATCAATACTCAGAAGGTAAGATTTATTTGGATTTAATTTTATTATCTACAGAAAGATAGGCTGTGCCTTCTCCGTTTATATATTATGCCGGGATGGAAGGCTGTACCTTGAAGAAGGACTTTTGCAGGTCTTAACTCAATCCCTCTCTAATCAGATGTAGTATAGAAGAGGTTTAATCAATCCATCCAGGAGTAAGAATAAAAGAGATGCAAGGCACTAACTAAGATTAACCATGTATGATGAAGAAAGATGATTCTAACAACCTAAGTGATTAAAGATAAAGTGCATAAGTTAATTGCAATCCTAT